GTGCAAATTTCCAATGATGAATGGCATTATATTGTATACTTTAAATGTACCAATAAAATTAATTTAAGAAAACAAACAAAAAAAGCAAAGTAATAGTTTCAGACCAGTCTGAAGCTATTATTGGTATTTTTATTTAATAGTTTATGTCTGAAAACTGTCCTGAAATATCTGCTCCAACAATTAATATAGCTCTGTGGTGTTGCGCCTGCCTCTCAAGCACAAGGTGCTGAGTTTGATCTCTGGTTAAAAAAATTTTTTTTTAATTTGGCCCAACTCTGAAAGAGATAGCAGTTTCCATACTTCTCGGCCTTTTGGCTAAGATCAAGTGTAAAGAGATCGGAGTCTTCTAGTTTTCACCACAGTCCTGGCTCTCTGCACAAATCAGCACCACTGGTTCTGTGCTCTGCACCCCACTTCTCGGGAGCAAAAGCATCTCGTGCTAGCACAAGGTCCAGGACAGTTCGCTCGTGGGTAGTAACTTTCACACCGAAACAGAACTAATTTTTCTGATAATTTGCCACAGTTGTATCTTTTAAGAAATGTACATTTATAGCCTGATAGTAGTGCCTACTATTTACTTGTTCCCTAACAGATAAAACAGGGTAATAAATGTAGGCTGAGAACAGGAAATGCAGCAGCAAATTGAATAGATGCCAAAACTATTTAGTGAAAACTCACCTGGGGACATAACCGTCACCTAGTCTTAAAGAATCAGCCTACTGATTACTTGAGGTAAAATATTGAAAATATATCTCAATGATGATGGCAGCTGATGGCGTTTGTTATTCTGCACGCACAGTTGCTACAGAGGTCAGGGACCAGGTGACTTACACAACACTCGCTTGTGTCTCGTGGCCCTCGAGGCTGGGAGGTTGTGACCAAGACCCTGGCACACCCTCGTGTCCCACAAGCGCATGCTTTTGGCTCACACATTGCTTCTTTTCGCTGTCTCCACATGATAGAGAGAAGTGAAAGAGCTCTCGGGGTCTCTTTTTGAGGTTGCTGGTACCACTCATGAAAGCCCCACTCTCAGGAACTAATCACATCCCAAAGCCTCTGTCTCCTAACGCCAGTACACTCAGGATTCAGATTTCAACACACGAACTTTGGAGGACCCAAACACTCGCTCCATAGTGATCAACACAACAGTCAAGTGATCAGAGAGCATCACCAAATATCCAGTGAACTGACATTATTTGCTTCCTTACCTGATATGATGGATAACTAGTGAGTATACAGCATTGCTGATGTTGTGTTCCTGATAAATAGCCTGAATACATGAAAAAAGAAGAAATTTCTAGATTATAGGGCAGTCTTCAAACAACTGATCCAGACTAAAAATAAAGTCAACATAATAAAATACTAAAACAACTGCCAAAACAAACACAACAGGCTGGGAGCTGCTCTAAGAGTCTAGATTATAGGAGTCTTTAGAGATGATATGGTCCAGTGTACAAGTTATATAAATGAACTAAGTTTATGCATATATATGTATTAAACATATATACATAGAATGTATGTATGTATAACACACACATATTCCTTGTTTAACAGATATTCCTGTTTAACGACCTACCTATTTACCGACTGGACTTATGACTCATGTTTTTTGTTTGTACAGCTCTGTACATCTTCTTTATAGAGCCTCAATGTAATTTTTGGTACAGTACACCCTGTTTATGCAGTACTGTATAACTTTGTTGATTGTAGTGGACAATGCACTACTGTAGTTTTATATTCTGTTATACATTATGGTCATGCATGTAAAAATTATGCAAATAAAAGCAAAGTCATTGAGTTGCAGTTTCCTTTGACCATTTCTTCATTCTGAATATTACAATGTACATACTGCATACAATTTTTAATTTAGCTACCAATTCATTTAACAACCTAGTTGCAGGAATGGAACTGGGCCATTAGACGAGGAATGTCTGTATACGTGTAACTTATATATAATTATATAAAAATTATATGTGATTTGTTCACATATTAGTTATATATGTCATTTGAGGGCAACAGAGGAAATTTTAGTAGAAACTGCAGATTAGATTAGGATATTAATGAAATTTGAAATAATAACAGTATTGAGGTGATATGGGAGAAAGTTTTACTTAGGAGTAATATACTAACTAAATAGTTAAATCAAGTATGGTGAGGTCATGCACTTTCTTCTGTTACAGCATCTACTGTGCATATTAAGGGTATAACACGATGTTATCAGGTGCATATAGATAATAAAATGGTTAATGCAGTGAAGCATATTAACATAGCTATTGTGTCACAGCGGCCTGTTTGTGTGTGTCAAGAGCAGCTAAAATCTTCACTTTTAACATAAAACCCCAATACAATGTTAAGTGTAGTCTTCATGTTACATAGCGGATCTTTAAATTCGCTCACCCTACATCCCCACTGTGCTATGTCTGTTGACCCGCATCTCCCTCCAGTCCTTGACTGCACCTCTGGTAATCACTGTTTTATTCTCTATGTCTTCAGCTTTTTTTCTTTTAGATTCCACATATATGTGAGATCCCTGGATGATTTCCTTTCTTTATTTGGCCAATTTCACTTTGCAGAATGCTAACTTCATTCATACTGTGAACATGACAGGCTCTCCTCCTTAAGGCTGAACTTCATGGGCACACACTTTCTTTATCATTCGCCTGTCAGTGAACACCTTTGGGTCATTTCTACCTCCTGGCTGTTGTTCACAATGCTGCAGTGAATGCAGGAGTCCAGATTTCTTTTAATGGAGGTGGATTTCATTTCCTTTGGGCACATACCAAGAAGAGGGATCTCTGGGTCATAGGTTAATCATATTTAATTTTTTGAGGAACTGTCATATTGGATGTTTAAAAAGTATTAGCTGTACCAATGTACACACTTACCGAGAGTGTACGTGTTTTCTCTTTTCTCCACAGCCCGGCCAGCACTAACCACCCCCTTGTCTCTTTGATAACAGGACTTCCTACTACAGTGAGGATTGTCTATGGCTTCAGTAGAATTTCCTTGATGAGTAGTGGTCTCCAGCTGTTTTCATGAATCTCTCTGCCACTCGGGTGTGCTCTTTGGAGAAGTGGGTATGCATGTCCTTTGTTCAATTGGTTCATTATTTCCCAAATTGAATTATATGTGTGTACTCTAAATTTGGATGTTAATCCTTATCAGATATATGGTTTATGAACATTTTCCCCAGCTCATATGTCACCTTTTTGTTTTTATTCATGGTTTGCTTTTATGTACAGAAACTTTAGTTTGATATAGTTGCATTTATTTATTTTTACTTTTGTCGCCTGAGGTTTGGTGTGATTTCCAAAAACATCTTTGCCAAGTCTAAGGTCAAGGAATTTTCTCTTATTTTAATTCTATGAATCTTATGATTTTAGGACTTATATTTAGGTCTCCCCCCCCCCCATACGGAGGATCAAACTTGGGACCGTGAACCTGTGAGGCAGGCGTGGCACCACTGAGCTAAATCCCTGGCCCCTATTTAGGTCTCTTATAATTTTGAGTTGCTCTTGTGTATGGTGTAAGATAAGCATCTAATTTTGAAAGCATAAATCCAGTTTTCTAGGCCCATTTTTGAAGATCCTATCCTTTCCCTCATTATTTCTTCTCGGCATCATTGTTGAAAATTAGTGGACTATTAGCTCAGTCTCTGGCACTGTAACAACATACCTGGTAACTGCATAATTTGTAAATAAGAGAGATTTATTTCTCACAGTGTGGGAGGCTGAAAGTCCAAGATTAGGCACTGATAAACTAGGTTTTGGGTGTGGTCCCTGTCTGTGCTTCCACCATGGTGCTTTGTTATTGTGAATGCCGCATGCTGGCATGACAGGAGAGGAGGGACAATAGGGGCCCAGCCCTGAGAGATGAGGCCCTGGTCCCAGTAACGAGGAAGGAGCCCTCAGAGCATAGCCCCCTCCTGACAGGTACCGCAGCATGCTGCACTGGAGATGCAGCAGCAGCATGCATTCTTAAGGGCCACATACTTCCCACTTAGCTTGAACCATTCACAAACTAGTTTGACCATTTATACGTTCACTCATATCCTGCCCCATAAAACTATAACCCACAACAATGGAAGGACATCGTCTTTCTTGGACGGCAGTATTGTCTCATGTGCTTACAATAATGTCAGCCTCATTATAGACACTTTATGACCATGTGTTGGAGAATATGATACATTAGAGGATATAATACATACATGGGCACACATATTCCTTTAGGTGTCCAATGTAAAATGAGAGGATCAATGGATGACAATCCAAGAACTGGTTGTACTACTTATATTATAGCAAGTTATCACGGTAGCTCTCAGAGCCCAATGGTACCTTTTTTCCTTAAACTGAGTAGAAATATGAAGGGTAGGGAAATTTTGTATTATGTCCTTAATTATACAGGATGCAAATAACAGAAATGAGATTTTCAAGATAAAAACCCAGGGTGGATAGAAAGCCCATATGCTTTACCACATCCTTATATTTACTGTTCCCATTAAATTTTCTCAGATATTCCGTCAGAATGGGAAGTAGGTAGCACATGAATGTACCAGTTCTGAATTGATTTAATTTGTTTTGGCACTGTACTATAAAACCAGACACACTTCCTGTGTAACTGATGGACACCATGTACTGCACTGGCTCATATATGGCACGGGATACGTAGTTTACTAAGACACAACCCTGCCCAGTGGTTTACACTCAAAGGCTCACGCAGATGCAAGGATCGCCTGTACTCTTCACGTACTATGTTATGTGAGAAAGGAAATAAAGTGGGAGAACACAGATATGTAGTTTTGTGGGAGAAGAAAAGCCCTTTCTTCAAATGTGGAGTGAATATAAAGAAGCCGAACAAGAGGGACTGTCCGACAAGACAGTGGGTGCTCAGCCTCAGGGCCTCATTTCAGAAACACCATTTCTCCCATGTGTGGCCGAAGCTTGTGCCCACTGAACACCCTCCTATAGAGTTTTGAGTGTGAATAAAGCCACTCGGCTGAGGTTGTTCAATCAGCTGAATTATTTTTATTCTATTTCTGGTATTCTGTTTCAGGGTGGGTGGAAAGATTTGTCAAGTTCCTAGGAAAACCAGAGAACATGACTCTGAACACACACACACACACACACACACACACACACACACTACAGAGATGCTTCCAGGTGGTTTTCCACAGGGGGGTTTGCATTGCAGTCAGGGGACATTTTCTGGAGCACTTTTCTCAGCAGCTGTTGAATCCATGAAACCTCCTCCCAGTGCTGCAGGGGAGGCTGCTTCTGTCGAGCGAAGGTCTGATGGCAGAACCAACAAAAGCTGTAAAATCAACGACAACGCCATAGGTGAGTGACAGACAAACCCAGGCTTCCCCTCCCTACTTAATATCATTATTTCCCTTTCTGCCTGGTTTCAGTCTCAGGACCAGTGTGCTGGACTTCTAGGCTTCCCCTAGATCTGGCTGTCAGTGGCCGACCGTGGCTGAGAGGCCGATGGCTGATGCAGGGTCTCAGAGTGCATCAGTGCACCTTGTGATGTGGCACCAATAGCTCTTTAGGAGCCACGAGATGACTGTCTTGCTGGGGTCACGGAGTCCTATTCAGCCAGCCCGGGAACCTCTCCCTGTGGGGTGTGCCCTGACCTGGACTCACAAGGGCTGAGCTTTGGGTGCTGGAGATGGGGAGAACAGCTTCCGTTAGCCATTCCCAGAGGCATAATTCTACTGGCCCTGAGGGACTCAGATTCCAGGTACTGTCCCTTCCTGAGTGCAGATGGGCCCATGGGAATGGCAGACTGTCTCTCCTGTGTCACCTCAGCTTGCAGTGAATTGGAAGGACACTATCCCGGGTGAGCCTGACACAGTTGTGTGAACACTTTCAAAGCACCCCAAAGAGTTCAAGATGTTTGCTTTCCTGCTGTCCTCAAAACAGTTGTTTCTGGTCACTAGTGCAACATCTGAGAGGGTGTGGGTTCTGTGGCTGGGTATGGAAGGACAAGAAAGAGGTTCAGATGGGAGCACAGTCGGCCAGCTCTGTGAGCACAGCCTTGTGAGACGCTGAGCGGGGCCTGAGCAGCTGCGCCCAGGCTCCGGTTCTGCAGAAGGGCGGGAATAACCACGAGTTTTGTGTGCTTGATGCCACAGTGATGGAAACTACTACAGACAGCACGGAAGGCCAGTACTCACCCCACCAGCATGACAACAGAGCACTTTGCACCCAAATGAAGATAGGGAGACAGCAAGGCAGAATTCCAGCACACTTAAAACGAACATCAGTCCATCCAGCCCCTTAAGATCAATTCAGAACACAGGCGTGAGGAGGGGCAATCGCAGATCCCACACATTGACTCCTAGTTATGGTGTCAAAAGGCAAAAAGCACTGGCTGGGAGTCTGGAGACCTGGCTCCTACTACATCCTGGAACTTGGCAAATTCTTTGCATACTGGATGCCAGTCATCCTCTTATTTACTTCACTTCACTGGTAAAATAATCAGGCTTTCTCATTGCTTTCTAGTGCTATTATGGAAATACAACATGAAAGTGCTTTAAAATGGCACGTGGGCTGGTGATAAACATTTCTGTCATCTCAGTCCTTTCAGGCACTAGAAATTCCACATCATGGACGCAATTACGTGACTCTGTATTTTTGTTGTTGTTGGCAGATAAAGGTCCCTAATCTTTAAAAGCTGAAGATACATACAGTTATAGAGCAAAGGAGAATCCAGTTTGTAAATGGAATTGTTTACAACTCGGGTAGAGGGATTTCTCCACATTATTCATTTGGGTCTGAAATAGGTGGAAGTAGACAGCACAGTCCTCAAAGTTGAAGAGATTTGAAGCTTGTGCTCTGGTTTACTTGAAGACAGAGGGCAGTGTGATGAGCAATGGAATTTAGGAAGCAGGTCTCAAAGCTAGAAAATCAGAAACCTGATTTTCCCTAGAGCACCCAGACAGGAATATATCCCTGCCAAGACTCTGACTTTAGCTTAGAGAGACTCATTTTGAATGTGATAATAAATTTGAATTGTACACTAAATTAGTAGGAACTTGTTTAAGCCACAATAAGAAAGTGATGCTATAAGGAACACCTGCTTAATTCACCCCAAAAGGCAGTTGGTTTAAAGTTTATCTTCATCCAACCTGAGGGCTCAAATTGAGGAATATTAGGAAGCGCATTTCTTCCTAATGTCTTACCCTGGATGGATCTGAGATTCTTTGGCTTAAATATTCTGTATTTTCCTCTCCATGCTTAGGGACAGATAGTCCATCTACTGTGAAAGAACCCATGGACCACAAGCTCAGTTCTGGAGAGACACACACTTAGTGGACCTTGAGAAGGTGTTGCTTCATTGCTTCTTTATGCACTCATGCCTTCAATAGACTCAGTACCCTCTGTATGCCAGGGATGGCTGTAGCCTTAGACGTGGACAGCAGCTAACAGAACAGACAATTCCCAGTCTCCAAGGATCTTCCCATCTAGCAGAGGTGATTAGGAGTTAGAAAACTCTGGGATCAGATAGTATATATTTTAGGTTTGCTGGCCCTAATTTCTTTGCTTCTGGGACTCAACTTTGGCACTGTATCATAGAAGCAACATCACACAGTATGTCAACCAATGGACTTGGTTATAGTCCAATTTCATCTTACAAAAACAAGTGGCAGGCAATACTTGCAAAATAGTAGCAAATATCTACATCTACATGGTTTGCATTTCTTCCTGTATATCTATCTCTATTATGTAGCTGAGTCTCCATATCAATCCCACACTCCCTCCCAAGGACATCATCCATTTTTGAATTTTGTGAATATACTTTTTCTGTTTGTCTTTGTAAGAGGACAGCCCTAAAAGCCATATATACATACCATAATAATACAATATATATATGAACTAATATGAGATTACACACACACACACACACACACACACACACACATATAATGGCCATCCTCAATACATTGTTTTGACCCTTATAATACTGATATCTCTCTATTATAAGTATAAATACCTGATGATTGGAAATTTACATGGTTCGGTCCAATGATCCTTGTTTCTACAAAGGATTCACATTTTCTAACCTCTTTTTATAATTATGAGGGTTAATCAACATATACTGTTAATTTTTGAATTAAAAAATATTATAGTACAAGATAAATTGCCATTCATCCCTGTCAAAATATTCACTCACTTCAAACACACTTATTCCATTGTTCTTGTCACATCCTGAAGCAGCTCTGGAAGTCCTTGCCTGGAGTGTTTTATGAGGTGGGATCAAAAATATAGTGAATGCTGGTGCCAAGCACCTTTCAACAGAAAGGCAGCTCATAAAAACAGGACTCTGCGTCCTCCTCCACCTTATTCTCTGGGTCAGGCACTGTGTGACTCCTGGCTCTTCCCCAGAGTCAAAAAGACCACTAAAGACAAACATTTTGAGTGAACTCCAGACCCAAGCCAGCCACAACGTTACAACTAAAGACACAAAAGAGGAGTCCCAGAACTGCTTGGGACAGTGGCAAGGAAGATGGGATACGGTGTGAGTCTGGTTTATTTCACTTAACGCGGTGATCTTCAGCGTCATCCAATTTCCTGCCGCAGACGTAATTTTGTCCTTCCTAACTCTGTGCGCTTACCACACTTGATTTGTCTGTGCATCTATTGGTGAGCACCTGGGCATTTCCATATCATGGCCGCCGTGAACGGTGCCAAAGCAAACGAGGGTACACAGGTAACCCCATAGTACGCTGAATGTAATTCCTTTGTGGATCCACCCACGGTGTACTGAATCATGTGGCAGCTTTACATTTGGTTTCCAAGGAAATTTCATACTGATTTTCATAGTGGCCATATTAAACTTACATTCCCTCCAGCACATGAAGAGTTTCTTTTCCTCCTACATTTTCACCAGCATTTATTGTCTTTTGGATTCTCGATGACAGCCACTCTGAGTGGCACGAGATAGAACCTCAATGGGGCTTTGACTTGTTTCTCTAGTGGCTAAAGATAGTGATCTTTTTTCCACACAATCATTGACTATATTTTCATCTTCTTTTGAGAAGTGTCTGTTCAACTTATTTGACTATTTACTGATAGGTTATATGATTTTTTGATGTTAAGTTTTTAAAAATTCTTTATGATTATCGATATTAATCCTTTATCAGGGTAGCCGGGAGAGATTTTTTCCTACTGTCCACTTGAAGAGGTTACTTTGGTGTGAATAAACAAGGCCCAAGATTTACATAGAATTAATAAGGGATGAAAGAAAAGCGCTACACTTGCTCCTGCACACTGTGCCATGGTAAAAGTTTCCACTTTGAGGTGAGAGAGGAAGGGAACAGACACAGTGGACCAGCGAGCCAAGTCCGGAAGCCCCATGGTCAGAAGAGAGCAGAAACATGACTGCGTTAACGACGGCAGCAGAGCCTCACTGCACTGGTGTAGCAGGCTGTGCCCGTGTGCAGCAGTGTGCAGAAGTAGCTCCCTGCACTCACCCCTGGCACAAACTCCAAGAACTCTCCCTACTCACATGGGCTCATGCAAGTAATAATTTACAGGATAAAGCAATGAGGATATCATGTAGACGAGGGCAGATGATGCAAAAAGAAGCAATAAAATGCAGACAGAAGTTTGACAACTTCCGGGGGCTGATTGGTGAGATGAAAACTGGTAAATATTGCAGGAACCCCCAGGGATGTCCAGCAGGACATGGTAGCATCGTGTTCAAGACAATTTTCCTTTATGATTAGAGAAGCCCTCTGGGCTGCATCAGGAAGCCCTGGGGGCATTTGGGGACTGGCGTTGCCTTGATGGAATGAAAATAGATACAGATCAGTGTTTTTAATTAAACAGTAAAAGTGGTCCCTGAGTGCTACGTGCAGTGAGCAGTACAGGGCACGTCTTCTGTCATTCGGCACTTCCTTCTCACTTGGCCTCATCACTGGTAGAGGACAAAGAGAGATGATGCATGAGCTCGACTCCTAAGTAAGAGTTGGTTCTATTTCTCCCTGGGTTCCTCTTTCCCCAAAGACCCAGCCTTTCCCAATGCTGATGGTTGGTTCTGCCAGAGCCAGTGCTGTGCACTCCTGGCTACCACACTAGCATCCCATGGCAAGAGGAGGAACTCACTGTTAAGATAGATTCTCTCATGTGACAATTTTCAGTTGTCTGGTAATAGTAGTAGCAGGAAAAATGATGCTCTGTATTTAAGATCAAGCTGACCACGAGGAGGATCATTCCCACTCCAGCAAACACAGAGCTGGTGATGTTCAGGCCTAGACTGGCTCGGACCTGGGAAGGAATAAAAGTCAGGGAAACAATCCAGGAGCGCACTCAGCTGATCCTCCATTATTCATGTGAAGCCTTACCATTTCTTTCCCAACACATTTCATACTATCTTCAGTAATTTAATAGTCTCCAAAATTATCTTTCCCTAAATTTGAAACGGTTAATCTCTTGCCAAGACAAAGATATGGCCTTGTTATTTCCCAGTTTAACTCTCTCTGATGGTGTCTCTGAGCACAGGGGATCGACTCCGAGTGTCCTTGCTTGGGTCCTCAAGTCCTCTGCACCTCAGCTGCACAGCCTGCTCCCTGAAGCTGCCCCATGCTCTGCTGCAGGGCTGAGCACTCCAAATGCTCTGAATTCTACCTGCTCCTCATGGCTCTCTACCATTTGCATGTTATGTCTTATATTGTGTCTTTCCTTCTTCCCAATCTCTTTTTATGGTGGAATAAGCTTTTCATGAGAATGAAAATCACTCAGGAAAGTGTGAGTTTTGGCATGGATATTTAATGGCTGTAGCCAGAGGAGATGTTAGAGGCAGGTGCTGGCCAGATTCCAGAAAGCCCACCTTGATCGCGCTGCAGTTTTATGTTTGCATTTTCAGCAGATTCATAGATGTAGATCTAGATGTAGATCTAGATCTAGATCTATCTATGCTGTCTTAACCTAGCTTTGTGAAAGATATGCTGGCATGAGAGTGATAGCATAAATTTCTTTTTTCTTGAGTAAAAGTTCACTGGAAAACTGAAAGCTCAAAACCCTTTCTGGGTGCAGTTGAAGTAGTATTTTAATCAATGAACATTGCATGGTGCCTGTGTCCTGAGCTCTATCTCACTTCCAGCTGCTCTGACTCTGCTTGATGTTCCTTCTCCAGGACCTCCATGTCTCCATGCAGAGTCCCTCAGCCATAATCTTCCCAAAATATTCAGCACCGTGCGCTTCATCATGATTACCCAAGTATTTGAGTTTAACTATTGAATGATCCCTCAAGGTAAAGCTCAGGACTCTTGATTTTTTAAAGAAACAATCTGTTTTATGTACTCAGTCAGAATGCATATTTGATGAAATCATTCCCCTTTTGATACCAAAATAAAATAAAAGAAAGTAGAACTCACAAGACCTTTTGTAGTTCTTCTTGCTGCTGCAACTGAGAAAGATCCTGAAATAATAAACTAAGAATGGGAGAAAAAAGTCTGTTAAAAACTTTTAACAGTATGACCAATCATAATTTATTAAAACTTACTCCTAAATTTTATCACCATGTTAAACAGAGCAATAGTTTAAAAGAAACCCTGAAGTTTGCTGATTACTCTTCCATTCTTCCAATAATGAACACAAGAATTCTATGAGATAGATCCATGGGAGAATTCATCAACTTTTTCAAAATATAACTAACAGTAATGGTCTTAAACTTGTTTAAAATCCCTGAGACATATAGCATCCAAATTCCTGAAAGGAAGTAATACTAATATGATACTCAAATAAAAATAAAAGAAGTTAAATTACTATTCTCATTTAAAATATCTATTAAAAGTCCTGAGTAAAATAATGGCAAAGAAAAATTTAGATTTCATATTTGATGACAACTGGAACAACCAGCTTATTGCATTTTGTGAGCTGGGCAACAGTTTTCCATTTTCTAAAACACCTGGAGTTGATTTAGTTGAATTCTTTGCCTTACATAATTCAACTTTAAAAATTTCTGAATCAGTACTCCAAATTTGATGTTAGAAGATTTAAAAATTATAAATGAATTCCAAGGTGAATGAATTAATACATAGCTTAATAAATATATTTTCACAAAATTTTATATAGCAAAGCAAAACACTATCATGAAAATCACCCTGAAAAAATTAACAGAGAATACTACCCATCCTTTACTATGAAATAAATCATGAATATTTGATTTTTTTTCAAATAGTGCTGTGGGTTTGCGCGAGAGTGTCTGCACAAGTGCATGTGTTAAAGTCCCAGACTGGTGATAACGCATGTTAAAAGCTGGATTTATTAATACAATCTTATTTACCATACTAACAAAACTACACAAAGCATCTTAGAGGAAAAAATAAACATTGAGCGTGAGAGATTGCTATGCATAAAACTTTGCAATATTCCAAAAGTACACCTAAGAAAACTTGATACGGATGTGGCAGTAATTCTGTGGAACTGTCATAAAAGACAGACAGCTGGACTGGAGCTGGAAGAAGCCAAACAAGACATTTGCAATCCTTACTATTGTACTTGCACTGTGAGAAGGAACCAAAGGGGGCGCTGTGCAGGCGAGGCTTGGGAATACAATTAAAACAGGAGTGAGGTCAACAAAATGTTTGTACCAACTAATGAGAAGCTGAAGTAAGAAATGCCCGCCACACCCAGTCGGTGCCTCACTTGTGACAACGCAGAGGCTGCCCTTCGTGGTGACCCTTCCAACACACGCAGAAGTCAGAATCTGTGTAAGAGGGCTTCCAATTCGGTCTGGGAAGAAAGTGAAAAGAGGACTTGCAGACTAGACTGGGTCGGTGTAAGCAGTCTGGAAACAGACTACTTGCTTTGAGGCCCGAGTCTTGAACCTGATAGATCCTGGACAAGTTAGTAACTCTTCTGACTCCTTATTTCCTCTTTCATACAATAATCAGCATGAAGAAACTTCCCTCAGACGATTTTTATGTTTGGTTGAGATCAATTTACCCATATAAAACACTTCACAGGGTTCCTGCATCATAGTAAAACTTTAATATAAACTGACTTGTTTAGGTTTTTATTAGACACAAAAGTCCTGTTGCCACTTACAGATGTAGACGAGCATTTCCTGTCCTGCACATAGTGAACTTCTGCTCTGAACAGAAGAGGGAAATCTACAGCCAGGCTTATAATAAAACTCTAATCTTTCTTGTTTTCATTTTATAGAAAAATGGATGCCCTAAAACACTAGGATACGTTCCCTGATGCTGACGTAAACACATTTACAAATTAAAGAAATATTTTCCAGGTCAGTAGGTAAAATATGATATGTTATACTCCATGTATACCCTAATGTCCATGAAAACCCTCTTGTGTTTTGACTTGGGGATAGATTTTAAACGTTCTCAAATTCGATGAAAGTTATTTTTAGGAAACTTCTGAAACAAAGTTGATCTAAAACTAATTCTGCTTTCTAGGGTAGCCACTGGCAGAGCTGGCAAATTGCCAACACCCTGGTTTTCTTCCTTCTCCTGTGACCTTCAGAGCAGTGAGACACCTTCCCAGCTTCAGAAGTGATCTGTGGTAGTGAAAGTCCAGAGTGACAAGGTTGGCATCCTTGCTCACCCGTGGTGTGCAGACAGGGTGTAAAGTACCAACGAGCAATGATGCATGGCAGCAAAACGGATATGCGCTGCCAGCCATGTGCCCGAGGTCCTTGCCTGAACTCACCACCGCCTGCAGGTGCCTCACTCCAGGCTGCTTGTTGGAAGAATCCATGCTGTCAATGTTTCAATCATCCTGCTTTGTGTCTATAGGCACACTGTGCTGTTATTCATCTAATTGACAGGTATAAAATAACTAGTGTCTAATTTTCCATAAATTTATGGTGTCATTTCTATATTAACTAAGCAAGTGAGACAAAGGAAGTTAAGCACATTGTCTCGAAGCTATAGTACTCTATGGTACAGTTAGGAAAGGTTTCCCTGCAAATCTGAGCATAGCACAAATAATGTTCCGTAGTCTGGAATTTTGTGAAAAGGGGCCACTCACCATCACCGATCCCCAAATTAAGTACCCTGTGTACACTGTAAAGGGTTTTGGTCCATATGAAGGTGGCGTGCTGCATATCATTGCTATTCCCACGCTGAGGCTCATCAGGCCAGCCATGATCTGCATAGCCTGGAAAGGATGAGAATGAAAAGAGTTATCCTACCCAAAGGGTGTTCATGCTACCTGCTATTCAACCACACAGGTGTTCTCCATCTGTTGGTGCAGTCTACTAACCTTTAGATATTCTCCTGACACTTTTTTACATAAAGTATTATGGATATGCTAACTGACTCCAATTATCCCTCTGAATACCTTTCACTGCCCCAGTAACTTTAAGGTTATGAGGAGTTTGTTAAAATCTTCTCAAAGGTACTTATGTGATATCCATAGTGCTATTTGTACTTCATCTGTTGCTGTGGCTTACCACTTGCTCAGACTAGGGTGACCCATAAATTAGGAAGCCATTATTCTAGTGAGCAGAACTGACACAGGAAAGAAAATTAATTAGGGGCATAAAAATAAAAGAAAGAGCAATTGTGACATTCTCTTAGGACCTTGAGCCTCAAGACCAAAAGTACAGTGAATTCAAACTTGAACTTTGCTAAGGAGAGTGAATTACCAAAACTAGTGAGACACAGAGGTATGCTGAAAGGGAAATTTATAGCATAAGATGCATATGATAGAAAAATGTAAGATTTAAAATCAATTACCTAAGCTTATATCCAAGAAAGTAGAAGTAGCAGAGTAATTAAATCTAAACAAATCAGAAGAGAAATTGAAATTTAGAGGAGAAATCAATGAAATTGCAAATAGGAAACCAACAGGCAAAAGCAAGTTTTAAAAAAACTTTTTTTTAAAAAAATAAATTGTTAGTTATTATCTAGCCAGGCTGAGCAAGAGAGAGAATATCAGTTAAGTATGCCAGCATGAAATTAGAGCCATCATTATAGAACACAGGAAGTCAAAAGCTTAATAAAGGCACAATATGAGAAACTGTACAAACGTTTCATAACCAACATGAAATGGATAACTCCCTAAAACCCACTGGGCAAAACCTCACAATAAATAAAAAATCAATCTATATAGGTTATTAAATAAAATAAATGATTATTTAATAATAATCCAATAATTACACCAGCCCCAGAAGGTTTCCAGGAATAAATTCTTTTTGATGCATGAAGAAGGAATTATAATAAATCTCTGTAATTTAGTCAAAATATATCTTAACTCATTCTATGAGACTAGAAATATCAAAATAACAAAACCGGATGAATGTCACAAAAGAGAAAACCACTGAGCAACATCTTTCATGAACATAGATATGATAATCCTATACAAATTTAATCCAACAGTTTATAAAAGGAACTGAGAACTGTGAATGAGTGGTATTTAGGAGGTACACAAGGATAGGTTATCATTGAAAATCAATTCATTTCATCCATCTTATTAATAGCCAGAAAAAACATATGATCATATCAGTAGATGACAAAAAGGATTGAACAAAACCCCTCACTCACTATAAAATAAATCCCAGTAAACTAGGAATATAAGGCACCATCTCAACTTAATAAAGGAAATCTACCAAAACCCATAGAGCTACCCACCATTACTGTCAACAGTTAGAAACCAAGATGTTTCCTAGCAACAGATGTAACAAGGTAATGTGTGCCCTGCCTCCACTCCTCTCTCCATTCTCTTGGAAGTTCTAAACTAATCAGAAAGAACAGGAAGTAAGAAACATACAGATTGGTAAGAAGGAAACAATTTCAGCTTCTTCTTAGATTACATGATCATCTATGTAGAATGTCTGAAGGGGAAATTGTTCACAAAATCCTGAGACTAATAGTTGGAGGATACAGGCTTAATGCACAAGAGTCAACCACTTCTCTGTGTGATTCCAATAGGTGAAAACTGAAATTAAAAATATAACACCATTGAAATTTGTAATCTGGTGCCATTCCACCGCTCCCAGGGAAGAGGAGGTGAGCCAATCCCAGCACCCAGGGGAGGCTCCCCAGCTGCCATTCCACTGCTTCCAGGGCAGAGGAGGTGAGCCATGCAGGCACCAGCAGTAACCACCCTCCCACGTGGAAATGAGAAGATACATAAACAAGCCTCAAAAACAGACTTCCAGATCACCTACAGCAACCCCAAAGGGAAACGAGACAGAACAATCTGATACTCAACCACCTGGACTCCCTGAACTGGCAACAAAAGAGGATCTGGAAAAAATGAAATCAGAAATAATT